TTTTTTTTTTTTTTTTTTTTGTTCTTATTCCTATGCTGTTTCAGTTTTTAGATATTAGATTTATGATTAGGTAGCATGTCGTATTGTGGTAATCCACAGACTTTCTTTGCTGCTTCTACTCTACCCTAAGGAGTTGAACGTACTGTTCACATCTTCAGTATTACCAGCTTAGCTTATATTGCTTGAGAGGCAATAAGCTATTCAACATAAGAATTCTTCTGGAAAATTTCCGTACTTTGGTTCCTTAGATTGTGCCATGAAAACTCTCAAGGGAGGAGGGCCGTTAAAGTTTTACACTGGATTTCCAGTATACTGCGTGAGAATTGCCCCCCCATATCATTGGTCTGTCTGTGCTTAGGATACCATATTTAAGATAATTAACTGAACTTTGAGACAATCGAGAGGAAATCATCGACGGAGTAAAAAAGGGTCGAAGGAAAACTCTTGGAACAAGAAAATAAAAGAAACATAGGGGAGAGAATATTTGCGCCCAAGACCAGATTGCAGTTTATTATTCAATTAGCATACTTAAAAGAACAACATATCCTAAAAATAGAAAAGAAAATGGCAAATGGCAACTGAATTAATTCCACTCACTTAATTTGGGTTAGAAATAGGGATCACTTTAACAACAAAATAGGAAAGGTTTAATTAAACCATATGAATTTATCAAACAGATACTTGTGGTAGATGGTAGATGACTTGGATTTTCCTAAACCAGATTCAAAAGGTGGAAAAATTCTTTGGGTTTTGAAGGACTGACCAAGATGATGAATATCCCTTTCCAAGTTGATATCAGGCTTAAAAAACAAAGGTTTTTTTCCTTGTGGTTCTTTGGCCATGTGGTATTCTTACTTTCTTTGAATACAGATTTGTCGCCTTGAGTTTAAAAGCGTCTTAATTATATTGTTCTGTGCCAACATGGTTGTAAGGTGCAAGACTGATAGAGAGTAGGAGGCGGGTATAGGATTGCTACTGTAATTAGAATGTACCAAATTCTCGCTGGGGAAAACCACGGAGTTCTTTAAACTATTACCCCACCAATTCTATTTTTATCGAGATATTTGAATGATATGAAATTAACGTCTGGAGGAAGCGGCCAATCTGCCAGTGTGAATCGTTCATGTTTGATTTAGGGTCTTAGAACTAAATGTTTCCTGACATGTTATGGGGTCTTTGTTATCATCAGCCACAGACAATCACATCAGCATTTATAAGAAAGAATATAGCTTCATTAGAAGAAATTATGAAATGGCAGAAGATATACAATCAGAAGCAAGGAAAAGGCATAATGATGATGAGAGCGACAGAAGCAATGCGGATTGAAGTTTAAAGTTTAAAGGAAGAAGGCAAAAACAAGAGCAGAAAGAGAAGCAAAGAAGGTGGGGTAAAAGAGAGGAGCATCAGAGGCAGGAGCAGGAGCAGGAGCCTCAGACGGTGCAGCAGGTTGGGCAGTGGTGGCAGCGAAGGCCACCAGCAGCATTACGAGGAAGAGCTTCAACTTGATTGCCTCCATTGCTGAATGAATGAATGATATGTGTGAGGAGAGTTGCAGAGTTTCTTGCTATTGAATTGAATTGAAGATGAAGGGCAATGGGGCATGGGAATTGGGAGGGAAGAAGAGCCTATTTATGATGCAAGCTTCAACTCGAGAGACAGAGACAGAGATAGAGACAGGAACAGGGTGGTTTTGATTGGTTGCTTTACCTTACCATACGCTAACTGTTACAGCTAGCTATCTATCTGTGGGTGCGGGACCCCGTGTTTTGCTGTCTCTGTTTTTGTCCTTTTTTCTTTTTCCCTCCTCGCCTGTGGTTTCTGTTTTATTTACAATATCAACCCCTCATTCTTAGCATGTTTTCTCGAAGCTGGTTTGGAATTTGGCTGTTATATCACCTTTTAAAATCGACTTCTCTCTCTCTCTCTCTCTTTTTTTTTTCTTTTTTTTTTTTACCAAAGGAAATGTATTTGCCTTGGTTTTTTACTTTTAACATTAAATTCCTCGTGAACCAAATTCATTAGAGGACTTGTAACTATCATGCATATAATACCATGCCAGGTCAGTTCATGGGACAATTGGAAGTATAATGTGCAATTCTTCAATATTTAATATATTTTAAATGAATTTTTTTAACCTATTAAATTTTTAAATACATCCTTAAAAGTTTATAGTTTTGATTACTTATTTTTTTATTATTAAAAACTTAGATCTAAACAATCCTATAAGTACCTTGATCACAAAAGAATTTTACCCAACATTGTCGATCTTCTCCTCTACTCTCTTTCAAGAACAATTGGGAAGGAGAGATATTCGTCTTAAACTCAACTTTTAGTATAGAGTAGTTTGAGTTACACATTTCAATTTAATACCTTATTATTTACGTGTTTCTTTCTCAATATTTATTCCAAATTTCTTTGTTACAATGTTGATTCTAACTATTAGAAAGAGCCATATGCACTCTTCATTTTTTTGAGTTTTGAGAACGCTGAAGATGAAAATTGAGCATCATTTTTAGTGTTGGATGAACAACATAGGTCTAAACGGTACTCAAACCATTTCTTTTATTGCTGTTCACAGGTCACCGAATTTCATAACTTTAAACAACAAATATCAACCTTTGTGCACTCCTTTCTTTATGAACCAAAAAAAGAAAAGAAAAACAAAAAGGCTTTGTTGCATCAAAAGCATCACTTCATCCATTGAGGACTAAACAAGATTATTAAAGGAAGACCCAAAACTTCACACTATAGAAAGCTCATATTTTTACCAAGGAGAGGAAAGTGGTAGCCCTCATGGGCAGTTTTGGTTTCTGCTAGGGCCTCCATAGTAAAAGTAATGGCCCCAATCCCCACTGTATCCGGTTTGGACGCCATAGCAGTTGGATTTCTGTGTAAAAGTACCGATCCCTTTGGGAGCTTTGAGATTGTTAGAGCTGTCAACAACTCGAATGTTCCTAAAATAACTTAGTCTTCCCAAATCCCTCTTCAGGAAAATGACCACTGCCCATCTGGGTTAAGGTGTGCAGTCCACCAGCCTCTGAATTCACAACCTCCCCTCCCCACTCAATCATGGAGGCAGTGTCAGCCAGGTAGGTACAAGAATAAGAAAGACGGCCAATATCCCAACACATACTCATTGCCAAATTGCATCCGCCAGTGTCCCTCATCTTGATCCTACGCCAAATAAACAACCCAAATATTTCTTTCACTACTCAACTATGCTACTTATATAGGTTCTTCATGAATTTAAAAACTGCGGCATGGAGAAACTAAGAAAATCTTACGATCTCGCTTTTCCCGTGTTTTTTTATTGCCTTTTCCAACTCCAAAATAAATTCCTCCTTTTTATTGCCTTGTTCGTGTTTATGATTAATGCTTAAAGTTAATTTTAATTATTTAAGTTGGAAGTTTAATTTAAATTCCAAATTGATACCACAAGTTGGGGCTTCAAATCGATTTTCTTCATCTATTTTTATTTTTTAAATTGAAAGGTTATCGGCACCGTTAATAAATCAGCCTTTGTCCTTGTTCCTCACCCTCAACATTCAATCAAGGCCTTTCCCATATCTTCTATCCGATAAAAAGTCCGCCCATTTCCTTTCTGCACTCTTCTGGATCTTCTTCTTCCTCCTCCGGGATAGATTTAATCCCTTCTTCGTTTACTTCCCATCTCTGTTCATCTTTCACATTCAGAATCAACCATAAGAAATGGAGGGATTAGTGATTGAGAAGAAACCCAAAACTAAGATAGTTTGCACCCTGGGGCCGGCATCCAGGTCTGTGCCCATCATCGAAAAGCTCTTGAAAGCTGGAATGAATGTTGCTCGTTTCAACTTCTCTCACGGATCCCACGCCTATCACCAGGAGACCCTCGACAATCTCAGGGCCGCTATGGAGGAAACTGGTATTCTCTGCGCCGTCATGCTTGACACTAAGGTTTCTCTCATCCTACTTTCCAAAAATCAAATTAAAATTACGATGGTTTATGTCTAAACTGGACAATATCAACAGGATTCAAACAGGAATAGAAAACTAAACAATATCTCTCCTGATTTGTGTGAAGGTTTGAATCCTGCTACTCCTGTTTAGTTCTCTGAGCTTTCCTCAGACCGAGGAACGATTGCTCTCCTGATTTCTGTTTCATATCTTTTATCGACGATCTGCACTTGGGAAACTTATTTTCTTAAGACTAAAACAGCTACATCTCAGTTTTAAGGAATGCATGAAAGCAATTGTTCTTCACTGATGAAGTTTAATTTATGTTTTGACTTTTAATTGAAAACAGGGCCCGGAAATTCGAACTGGATTTTTGAAAGATGGCAAACCCATCCAACTAAAACAGGAGCAGGAGATAATTATATCCACCGACTACAGCTTGAAGGGTGATGAAAATATGATATGTATGAGCTACAAAAAGTTAGCTGAGGATGTAAAGCCAGGAAGCGTAATACTTTGTTCAGATGGTACAATCTCATTTACAGTTCTGTCTTGTGACAAAAAATTGGGTTTGGTACGATGTCGCTGTGAGAACTCTGCAGTTCTTGGTGAAAGAAAAAATGTTAACCTGCCTGGAGTTATAGTGGATCTCCCTACCCTAACAGATAAAGATAAGGAAGATATACTTGAATGGGGAGTTCCTAATAAAATTGATATGATTGCTCTATCTTTTGTTCGGAAAGGTTCTGATCTTGTACAGGTCCGGAAGTTGCTAGGAAAGCATGCCAAAACTATTCTTCTCATGTCAAAGGTACATTCAGTTACGGTGAAATGCTAAAATGCACTAAAAAAGAAAATCATGCAGCACAAATGTTTTGTAGTCAAAGTAATTTCAGCCCTGTTATGTATCTTATCTGGAATTTGACTCACAGGTTGAGAATCAAGAAGGTGTGGCAAATTTTGACGACATACTAGCCAATTCAGATGCATTCATGGTGGCACGTGGTGACTTGGGGATGGAAATTCCAATTGAGAAGATATTTCTGGCGCAGAAAGTGATGATATACAAGTGCAACATCCAAGGAAAACCTGTTGTCACAGCCACACAGATGCTGGAATCGATGATTAAATCACCAAGGCCAACCAGAGCCGAAGCCACTGATGTTGCGAATGCTGTTCTTGATGGGACAGATTGCGTAATGTTAAGTGGCGAAACGGCTGCTGGAGCATATCCAGAACTTGCTGTTAGAACAATGGCAAAAATATGTGTTGAAGCTGAAAGCACCCTTGATTATGGAGATGTGTTTAAAAGAATTATGGAACACTCGCCAGTTCCCATGAGTCCATTAGAAAGCCTGGCATCTTCAGCTGTTAGGACTGCAAACTCAGCGAAGGCAGCTCTTATACTTGTCCTAACTAGAGGAGGAAGCACCGCAAAATTGGTGGCCAAGTATAGGCCAGGAACGCCCATCTTGTCCGTAGTTGTCCCCGAGATCAAGACAGATTCGTTTGATTGGTCGTGCAGTGATGAAGCTCCAGCAAGGCATAGCTTAATTTTTCGTGGCTTGGTACCGGTTCTTAGCACAGCATCAGCAAGGTCGTCTCATGCAGAGACAACGGAAGAAGCAATAGAGTTTGCTATTCAGCATGCAAAGTCAAAGGGCCTCTGCAAAAATGGAGATTCTATCGTGGCTCTTCATCGCGTTGGAACAGCTTCTGTTATCAAGATATTGACAGTGAAGTAGTAGTAGTAGTAGTGAAGTTCATTCTTTTGCTTGCTATTCACCACGAGCACAGATTAAATCATCCAATAATTGCTCTTCATTTTCTTCATTGTTTTCGGGTTTGTAGAGATCACCTCTTTATAACTAACATCTCTATTTCTTTCCGTGACACGGACAAATGTCGTGTTATTGGAAACCAAACACTATCTTTATTTTGAAATAATTATGTTCTTCTGTTCATCAATAAACCGGTGCCTCTTGCCTTGGCATCTTCTCTGTAGAATTAGAAGGGATGCCTCCAGCTTTTGCATACATACATACGTAGTTGTTATTGGATGTGAAAGAATAGCAATGAAAGCAGGGGCGAAGTGAAAAGGCATAACATATACAAAATGTTGGTAAAATTGGAAGAGGAAGAAGAAGAAGAGGAAGAAGAAGAAGAAGAAGAAGAAGAAGAAGAAGAAGAAGAAGAAGAAGAAGAAAGATTGTTCTAAGGGTAGTAGGAGGCAAAACATCTGCATAGTACAGTATAAGTATAACATACATACATACATACATACATACATACACATACATAAGCAAGCAGGGCAGAAGCGAAGCAGAGCATATCAAACACAGATATTCAAATGGATGTGTGATCCCTTTGAGACTCACTTCCACTTCCTCCCGAGGAGTTTCCTTGCGAAGAAAACAAGCCATTGAATGGCCATGGAAACGAAAACCTTCTCCCAGTCCCAGATGCGTTTCTCCCATCAATCTCCCCACTGCCACTGCCACTGCCACTGCCACTACCCATAAACCTAGCCGACCCACCATCCGCATCACGCTTGGACTCATCCGCAGGCAATTGATGCCTACAAACTGGGCAGGAACTATGCAGCTCCAGCCACGGCAGAATACACCCTGAATGAAACTTATGCCTACAAGGCATCTCCTTGGCTTCTTCATCCATCTCAAACTCATCCAAACACACCGAACATTGCAGACGATTATCCCCGCATTCAACTCTCACCGTGGGCAGCGCATCAACTGCCTCCTTCTGGGCTGGTGGAGTGCCATATCTGTTGGGATCATTCTCGGCTAGATGTTGCAATAACAAATCCAAACCAGGTCCTACGAAATAATCACCCAGCGACCCTATAGCGTTATGATTTTGACTCTCACCTCCTTGAACTACAATGGTCTGGTTGAAAGGATTTATAAGGATAACCCGCTCTCTTTCTCGTTCTCGTTCTCTTTCTCTTTCTCTGCTCCTCTCTCCCTCGTAACTATTCTCTGATTCACCAGTTGCCATTCCAGCTCTGATACCTTGGAGCAACTGTAGAATGGTAGCCGAACTTCTCCTCCTCCTCCTAATGACCGAATCAAGCTCAGTCGGCTCACTACTCACACGGTTCCCCTCCCCATCCCCATGCTCCTGATCATTATTATCATCATCATCTTCGTCAAACTCTAGATGCCTGAATCTACGACGCCCACGGGGATTTCCCATCATACCCAGCAGTATCGGGGCCCAGAGGGACAAAGCTCGCTCCGATCCAAAATCGGATTCAAGCGCATTATTACTATTATTATTATTATTATTACCATTATTGTCGCTGGACATACCGTTACCCATCTCTTCAACAAAGCCACTACGGCAGAAAGGGCATTTAATTTCCACGTCAACGATGGGATTCACCATTTGAGAACACATGTGACACCAATATCTTGTTGCAATTGACTCGTCCATCCTCGGTGTGTTGTGTTGTTACTTACTTTCACCGTTTCCTCTTATATCGTATCGTATCGTATGGTATTGTATTGTATTGTATGGTATTGTATTGCAGGATGATAACTTCCGATAGAAACCACAACCTTCAGCTATTCAATTTTCGAAAGAGAACAGGATGATCCCAAATCGAATGTAGCTAGCTCATCGCGGGAAAAGAAGAAAACAAAAAATCGTCAGATCAGATGTGATGTGGAATACACAAAAACTTGAAAACAATATCATGAAGGATGGGAGGAAAACTGTTAATTAGTATGGCAAGCAATATCATGAAGGATCGGAGGAAAACGAGGAAGAAGATGAAGAAGAAAAAGGAGTTACTTGAAAGCCGAAGCGTAGGTTGAGGAACTCAAGGAATCTGTGCGTTTGCTCCGATCGCAACCGGCGAATTGAAATGGAATGAATAGAATTGGGTGGAAGTGGAAAAGGGGAAGGGGAGGGAGGCCGTCGCGAACTGGAGAGAGAGAGACGAGAGACGAGAGAGACAGAATTCAACGAAACAAAAAAGTAAATAGAAAGGATTCTCTCTCCCTCTCTTTCTCTGGCACCCCGACCCTTCCTATCCGCTTCTTCAAACTCTCCCTTTCCCTCTCTCCCCCTTTATTGCATTTATTTTACTATTTTTTTTTTTTTTATATTTATTTTCTCAATTTCTCTCCCTGAAATTTTCCGACCATCCAATCTTTATTTGCCACATTCTCACATTACCCTCGTGTTTTATCTTTATGAGTAACATTTATTGTTATTTTTCGGTAATAATTTAAGCTTCCCATTTCAAAGAAATCCATATGATGCTTTGCAATTCATTGAGAGATCCACTTCGGCCATGGCTTCGTGATTATGTTAGGCTTCAGTCTTTCGCACTCATTCTCATTTATATCCAGGTGCATTCTTTCCCCCATCGGAACTATCATTCTTTGTTATCTCTATTTTCAGTTCTTAATCTTAATCTATTTTTTTGTAAATACATATGAGAAAGATCGGGTGCGCATTGATTGGATCCCTAGGGGCATTGCTTATAAATTTGGTGATCGCATTGTTCGCTTTGGTAGCCGTACATATGCTCTTCTCTCCCTCTCCCTTGTTTTAGAATGTTTAGTTTGTTTCTGGGAATGGGAGTCTTGACTGCTTGGCGCTTGTTCAAAGAGTAAAATTAGAAGGGACTCATTCAAAACAAGTTTGTGTTACATTATAATTCTATTTTTCATATTCATATGCTTCATACGATACCCAATAGGTACCCTATCCGCCCTCCAACTCTTTACCAATGCTTTTCCTTTCCTTTCTTTTAACTACTTGGATAAAATCATGATAAACCTTCCTCATTGTTTCATCTTTGACACTGGTCCGTGGCTGCACTGTAGTTTATCATCAGATAGATGAAGCTAATTCAATTTACGCAGAAACTTTACACTCTTGGTTGTTTCTCTAATTTCTGAAAAAATAGGATTTTGAATCAGCTATGATTAATGAAAAGAGATTTTGAATGAAGCTTTGATCTTGTATAGTTGCAACAACATCACTTGTACGCTTTATCATTTTCTACTGCAAGCCATCACCCAATCTAAATTAAGATATATATATCTAGATCTATCTATAAATATATAAGACTCTATTTGAGCAATGCATTCTCCGTTGTCCTGACACCAATCTTCTTGCCTGCCTTTTCTTTTCCAATGTTCATATTAAGTGCGCATGTGCATAGTGAGCTTCTAAATTGATGCATGGTGTTGACCGCTGTTTTACCCTGTAATTTGAATGAAAGGTTGCCTATATGCAGGAACGTTTCATCCAAGCAATATGGACCCCTTTTTACCTTTTCAGTGAAGCTTACTCTGGCTATGCAAAATATTGGTTTTGCTGTTAGACTATCGTCTTCACTACTGTGGATTCAAATTTACAGATCGGGGATTTCATATATGGAAACTCCAGTTCCCCGAGAGGCAGATTATGATTTGAGAAATAGTTTTCTTAGCCCCGCTACTCCTGTTGTAGTTAGACAACCCTCAGGTTCTGATGATATGATAGGGGGCTCTATCTATGATCCAACTTCTTGCTCGTCCGTATTCGAAGATGGTCATGATAGTAAATGTTTGTCTGGGGTAATGTATCAACTTTTTACGCACTCCTGCTTGCACCCGTTCTGATCTGTTGTCATCCATTTACTAGTTCTAAATCTGCTAGCTATCATTGCTTCATTTTATATTTTACAAGTATTTGGTTTTCCACGGTGTCTTTTCCACGGTGTCTTAACACATTTATTGTAGTAACAAATGTCGGATACGGATACGTGTTCAACAAGTGTTGGACATGGACACGCTAGCTAACATTATCTGAGTTGTTCAAGTGTTCCTCATTGCCTTCATCCTCCAATTCTTAAATTGGCAGTCCTTCATTGGGCACATTCGTTAAAAACTTGTTCCTGTTGTTTACACCTGAAACACTTGTCAAGAGTAGGTCGGTTATAAGAATTAGATTTTGTTTTCTTTGAACTACCACCTTCCAAATCTATATTGGATGGTGTTATTGATTGGGATTTTGTCCTTTTTGGTTTGTTGCACAAGGAAGTTCCTTGTGCAAGATTGTTTGCGGCATCGATTGTATTTCTCCTTTGACCTTGCTGTTGCTTCCAAGTATTCCTTCTTTGGCAAGTCTTGACTGTTTTTTGCTAATTTTGTCTTTCGATCTTGGTAGCTAAGGTGATAGCCTCCGAAAGATAACCAAGAGGATGTAAATTGACTTCCTCTTTTTGCATCTTTTATTTTTTTTTATCAGCAGTAATCGACCAATTATAGCATCAATTCTTGCTGTTTTGTCTGCAGATCTCCCATTTCGGTAATGGTGATAATAGTTCTACTTCTGGGCCAGATGTATCTCGATCAAAGCTGTCCAGACATTTCCAAGTAGCTGATGTGAGTTTCCTTATCTCAGACAATCAAACCTGTTAGCTTCCTTAGGCTTATAGAATTATTTTTACTCTTCCTAGCCAAATATTATTGTGTTTGTATATTTCACTGGATGATAGGAAGTGGGTCAATGTACTGGTTTGCCTCAGCTGTTTCTTTTAAAATCTTTGCCTTTTCTCTCTAGTGGAGTTTGTATCTTTAGAGCATCAGTCATTTTTCCTTTATTAAATGATTTTTTTTTTTTTTTTTTTTTTTTAAATTTCTGGTTAAAAATAAATATCAGTGGGAGGACATGGTAAATGAGAGACTGGAATGACTTTATTAATTCTTTTGTCTGCGATTTATAGAATGATGGAACAAACTTGGCTGGTGATAAGGCTTTGATCTTTACGCATGATCTCACATCCTGTCGCCAGTACTAAATATTATGTAGAATGCTTAGTTGTTGAATCTTTTGAAAAGAAGTAAGTGCAGCCTTGAGTCTGAAGTTTTTCAATATTTTTTTTGAATGTCCTACTTTCTCTAGTGTTTTGTTGATCCATCACTGTTTTTATTAAATTTCATCTATATACAAGGATGAATTGCAGCTCATAACCCATTGAACAATCTTAGTTACTTGGTTTATGAATGCTTTTATTCAATATTATACTTCTACTGCATATTCTTAATTTACAGAATTTTGTAATAATTGATGTCGTTTTATTTTCTCTTCATGGTTTTCTTTGTATTGTTTTTGCCTCTTTACTGTGACCTATCAACTTAGTTTATATGTTTGGTTTGATGATGTGGATGGTTTTTTAAAAGAAAAAGTTCATGGGGCATCAGAGAAATGATTCAAAATTAAAGTTCTAGTGGCTTTGAGGTCAACTTAAGGAGAGTAGTGATGTCAAAGACGGAGTACTGGGTTTGCATCATTTTCCCCAATGAATACTCGTTTAAGATTAGTATATAGCCCATCATTTTCCCCATCCGACTTGAGAAAGAGGCTTCGTTTTTGCATGTAATTGACTTGAGAAAGAGGCTTCGTTTTTGCATGTAATTGACTTGAGAAAGAGGCTTCCTTATCGACTAAAACTCTATTGTTAATTCAAATTGAATGCAGAATTGTAATTGTTTAGAATTAAGGAGAGTTCCCTTAGAAACGTTAGAAGAGAAGTATTTTAGCTCAAAATCGAGAAAAAGGACAAAGTAATTAATTATAAGATTGTTCTTTTATTTTATACTCCCAAACAATCATACATGAAAAATCAAGCTCTCCAAATTACTTATGTGTGTATAATACTTTTCACATTTGGAGTGAGGAAGGTTGTGGATGGATAGAGTCATATGGTATATGGCTTGGGTAATGGCATGCCCTCCACTGAACCACAAAGTAGAGTGTTGTCTGGAATGTTGTACTCATCTCTCAGGGATCGAGCTGGTGAAAGAACGCTAAGGTAGAGCTGTTGCCCCAAATAACGATTTTCTGTCAACTCCGACCTCAAGTTCCACATCCCAGCATTGTCTAGTGTAAGAAGAATGGCTGCCCACGATTTAGGAAAGACTTGAATTGTATGCCTGCTCACTGCGTCCAGAAGATTGTAGTTGGATCTTTTTTGTGGAGACCATCTCCCAGGCTCAATGCTGCAAATATTGCATAAGAATTAGTGATGTCTAAATTGAAAATTTGTTATATTATAGATACTTACGCAACAGCGAAGAAGGAGTGACCATCCAAATTCCATGATTGTATGCTCTTCTCGTGGTTTTCAAAAATAATCTCTATAAAGTTGCGGAAAGTTGCATTAACAACATTAGGAGCAACAGTAGTCACGGTGGTTGCGTCTTTTGGTAGTCCCTCATCAGAAATGGTATCATACTTGAACACCTTGTCAGCGATACCAAAGTACTCTGCAAGCTTCAATGGAGTTTCAGGATCAACATGAGACACACCATTGATGGCATATCGCAACTTGCCATCCACCTGAGTAGCTGAATTGACGAGCTTGATGGTGCGCGTAATGTTGATGGAACCATAGTGGTAGGAGCCTTGGGGATTAGGTCTTGCAGCACTAGCAGTGAGGTTCCAACGAAAAGTACGAAATTGATTGAGAGACCAAGCCCAACCTACGGGTGCTTCAGGGATGTCAGGAGAGGCGGGAGCCTTGCCATTGGTGTATCGAACAATGCCTTTACCAACAAGAACGTTCTTAGTGAACCTAGTGGATGCAACCATGTAATAATCCTTGGCCTCCTGGTTGGCTGTGACTAGCACCGAAAAGCATTGTCCCACATGGATGTCAAGGGACTGGTAATCGTTTTGAACGGTATGAGACCCCTCCATCTCTACCAACTTCATGGTGTGGCCTTGGAGTCTGAAGTTGAGAGATGTTTTCAGTCCCACGTTGCAAACTCGATATTTGTAAGTCTTTCCAGGCTTCATGGTGAAGAGTGGCTCGTCGGTTCCGTCGCCCTTGGCACTCTTGCCGTTGATGAGGACACCGGCGGGTCTAGCGATGGAGAGGCCACTATCCAAGGTCTGCTTAAGAGCGGTGTGGGTCTTGGTGTACCAGTCACCAACAAGGACGGTGTAGTCATCTTCAGGGTCAGCATAAGGGACAGGAATGAGTAAGCGACTATTAACACGAAGCCCACCGAAGGCTCCTGCAGCCCTGTGGATGGCAGTTGATGGGTAGTAGAAGAAGCTCCCAATTTGATCCTTAACTTGGAAATGGTAGGTGAAGTTGGTTCCAGGTGGGACTGGGCAATTGGTTCCAAGCACTCCATCTTGCCACGAGTTCTTCCTGTGTTGAATACCGCTCCAATGAAGAAGGAAGGGCTCGTCCAGGTTGTTGAAGACGTTAACGACAATGTTATTGTTGGATGTGGAGTTGATATTAGGCCCGGGGAATTGGCCATTGATGAGAATGCCTTTTTGGGGGACCCCCAAGGGAGAGATGGTGCCATAGGTGATGTTCCATGTGAAGAAGAAATAAGGGTCTTCACCACGGACCGTCCACATTGCTGCACCCGACAGGCATAGCAGCTGCAGCAGCACGTTAAACATCAACCCAGCCATCTCGACCTCCCCCCTTCCTTATATTATTGTCCAATCACCGCTCTTATTGTCGAGCAGGCTTGCTATGTATCCCAGGATGGGTTGTTGTTCCCTTCCTTGATGTCTAACCCTTCCGCTCCTTCGTTTATATACTTTCAAAACTCGATCTCTCGTCCACGTTTTCCTCAAACTTCCCCCTTTTTCTTGCCATCCATATTTCCCCACCTCTCCTTCCCAACAATCCCTCTCCGCACAAATTGTTTCCTTCCATAAATCAGTGGTTCACTCTCCGAAACAAGTGGACTCGGGGAGTTTTTTTTTTTTTCTTTAAGCCCAATATATTGGTTAGATGATTAGTTTGTAGAACACAAGTTCTAATGCCATTAATAACCATGTAATCTAAGTTAATGTTCATGTTCAAAGTAATATGCCCAAATCATGGTTTGAGGTGGGTAGTTATATAAAGATATAAAATAAATACAATATTGTTTATTTTTGTTGAAAAATTGATAACATTTTCATGCCATACCAAAATTTTAATTCATAAGTTTAATTAATATAAGATCCAAACTAATTTTAATTGAGTAATAGTATTTTGGAAAAATTAAACCTTTAGTCTAATAACATTCAAATTCAACATTTTAGCCTATAAAATTTTAATTTTTTAAAAACTATTTTAATATCTTTTCCCTCCTTCCTCCATTACTATACACCACTTTTCTTTTTTCTTTTTCTTCTCCTCTTTGTTTTATTTTTACCATTAGAAAGATCACGTTTAACTTGTATATATATTATATATATAAAAGAGGAGCTTCTCTCCCCGTTCAGATCTGGAATGGGGGAGGAGGTCTCCCCCTTCGCCTCAGATATAGAAACTAGGGAGAAAGAAAAAAGGAAGAGGGAGAAGAAGAGAGAAATGAAGAAAAAATATTAAAATATTTATATTATCTCTTATTTTTATTTAAAATTTTAAAAATATATTTTTTAATAAATATATAATTTTTTTGGTTAGTAATTTATGAAAGGTTAAAAAACCCACCTTAATGGTAAATAGTAATAACCAAATTTGCATATTAAATTGTATCAATTTTAGTCCGTTCTTCAAATTGTACCAAAACTTAAATAGATCAATTCTGACCCCAAAAAGTGTTTAATTCTTATAAGTTCCCTCTCAAACAATAGTGATAAAACATTTTTTTCTCATATATTCAATAAATTATAAAACACATACAACATGAAATTGATAAAACACTGAGAAAAATAAAATTAGTTTTTTTTTTTTCTTTTTTTGCATGAGTTCTCTATTTGATGGCATCTGGATTTCTTGTTTATACATTGAGAAGTCCAGTAAGGTTGAGAAGGTTTTGAGTTGAAGCATTTAGTATTCTTATCAAACCCCTTGAGCCACACCTCTCGAGATCTTAGGCTCCAGTAGATTAATAAATTGTTAGGAAAATGTGTTTAACATGAATTTAATTTAGCTCATCAATTAACAGTGGAAGAATGAAGAAGATCCCAACAAAATTTTGGGATTTCAAGATGTTTACAATTGAATCAAGCATGATTCCAAACATGGAAGCCCTAATTGATGCAAAATGAATGTGTTTTATTTCAAAAAAAAAAAAAAAAAAAAAAAAAACCTAAAACAAAAGGCTTCTCCAAACTAATCGGTGGCGTGCAGGTCGTGCTGGTTTGATGAACAGTCTCAAATAGAATATGGCTTGGGCAATGGCATGCCCTTCACCAAACCACAAAGCAAAACGTTATCTGGGATGTTGTACTCATCTCTAAGGGAGAGAGCTGGTGAAAGAACACTGATGTAAAGTTGCTGTCCTAAGTAACGGTCTTCTGTCAACTCAGACCTCAAATTCCACATTCCAGCATTATCGAATGTAAGGAAAATGGCTGCCCATGAATTAGGGTACACTTGAATTGTATGTCTGCTCACTGCATCTAGAAGATTGTAGTTGGATCGTTTGTCTGGAGACCATCTCCCAGGCTCGATGCTGTACAATATTGAATAAGGGATTTATTAGGCATGTTGAAGCCGAGATTACGAAATTTGTATTAAACATTTGAAGTGACCACTTACGCAACCGCAAAGAAAGAGTAGCCATTCAAATGCCATGATTGTATACTCTTCTCACGATTCTCAAAAATGATCTCTACGAAGTTTCGGAAGGTTACATTGACAACATTGGGAGCAAGAGTGATTGAGGTCGAGCCTTCAGGTGGTCCCTCATCCGAAATGATATTGTATTTGAAGAC